AAGAAATAGGAACAATTCATTCACATGAAATTCCAACGCAGCCCATGGAAAGATTGTGCATAGATATCCAAGGTCCAAACTCGTTATCAGGTGGATACAGATACATTATTTTACCTTCATGTTACTTAACATCGTATGTTTATGTCAAACTCGTTGAATCTGCTGATTCAAAGTGTGTAATTAAGTTCTTCAAAGAAATGTTCTTCATTTTCGTATTTCCGAAACAAATTCAGACGGATAAAGCAAGTTAATTTACATCAGAGGAATTAGGAAAGTTTCTTCATCAAGTAGGGGTCAAACACAGTTTTTCAGCAGGATATGCCCCATGTCAAAATTCCAAGAGTGAGAGAAATTTGTCTTTTAAAGGCAATTGTTTAAGGGAGTACTGCAATCCGGTCACTACATGCCTGGAAAGAATACGCAATTTGTGCAATGATAGCCCATAATTCAACAACAAATTGCGCTACAGGAATTTCCCCGCATAAACTTTTATTCGGATATAATTTTAGAAGTCCGCTTGAAGCAGCAATACGTACGAGCAAGTTTCTATTCAAGAGAGATTAGATAAGATCAGTGAATATAGGGAACAAACCGAGGTACTAATAGAAAAGGCCAGAAAAAAGCAGGAGGAGTACAAAAACCGACGTTTAGCCGATGCGCCCTTCAAAGTAAACTGTAAAGTCCTATCGTATATGCCAGAAAAGAAGAAGGAATAACGCGGGAAATTGAAATTTCAGTATGTTGGTCCATTTTTGATCAAACGAAAAATTGGGTTATCCATGTTCGAAATCGAGGATTTACGAACAGAAAAAACAGGAACTCAGATTGCACATCCATCTACATTAAAATCTTATCATGAAAGAAAGGCATCTTAGAGTGAAACACAGTTGTTTGTGTCTTCTAGAGTTGGATAACTGCACAACCCACCCCCTACAAGTGATTTTTTTGAAATGTTGGTACTATTCTTCTTCTTGCATCTGTGGCTCATGTTCAGAAACTGTGAACCTTTTAAAATACAACCTCTAAACACGGGAGTGATTTTTGAATGGGAAACGGACGTTATTTTGTCAACACATACGTGGACTGTCTCGGTAAATTATGATTTAGGCGAAATTTTTAATGAGCAACTGCAATTATTACAGCAGATAGGCAACTTGTCATACACGATTAAAAGTTTTGATGAAGATGGTGAAATAGAAGGGCGTTTCAACGAGTTATTATCATCTTTAAACACTTCAGTAGGAAATTTGGATAAAGAAATATCAGCTTTAATAAACTTCGTACGGATAAGCAGAAGGAAAAGAGCCTTCAATACAGCTGGCACAGTTATTAAATTTCTTTTTGGCAAACCGGATCACAAGGATAGAAAAAAATTATTTTCCGAAATTCATAAATTAAAATTGGATACAACTCGAATTTTTAGTTGACAATAAGTTACAGAAAGTTAGGTTTGACAGTGATGAAGGAACTTTAACGGGAGGATTGAACCTTGTTGAAGAATTAATTTATAATCTAACTTACTTTAAAAACGGATTCCAAGAAAAAATTAATGAAAATTTCCAAAATTTGTCCCTCAAATTTCACAGACTTCGACACGAGAATGTTATTGAGTTAGAACTCTCGTCATTAATTTTCTACATTATAGAGATTCAGAACGCATTTTTTAACTTTCATGTAGCAATTCTGCAATCGAATCCAAATCATCACCATTTTTATTTCCTCCCGATGTTCTAAACGCCATGTTAAACATTATCAACTTAAATATTAAGAAACCGCTAGAGACAATTGCGACTGTGCCCAAAAATGAAATGTACGACTATTTTGCCTTAACAAAGAGCAAAGTCTATTTCTTGGATTCAAAACGGACTATTGATATTTAGTTTCCCATTGCTGATTCGGGTAGTTATTTTGAGAGATACAAAATTATTCCAGTTTCTCAACCACTCTAAAATAAGTCGAGTAATTATTATGTACCCACGGGTTGGGGGCGTTACCTAGTGGGCGCGTCAGCAGGTGGCGGATGGCTGGATTCCCTATGTAGGTAGTGACGTCGTGTAATACTTGTGTAGGGTAGCCTTGAATATACTGAATAAAAGGTCGCGGACAGAACGTTCCAAGCCCCAAATACCCAGCCTGTAAAGCGACCCGTGCGTTGGGAGTATGGCACCAGGGGCAAATGGTGCCTTAACGGAGCCCTGGGATACCGGGCGACCTCCCAGCGTATGTAGCCTTACCCTGGTAAGAGGCTCTGCTAGGGTGGACCACACCACTTCCTCACATCTCGTGGGACTCATATGGATAACATTCCGAAAAGATTCCTCTGGAAAGTGAAGTGCGATATCTGAATGCAATGAAATGCGAATTCCGAGGCTACGATGTATGAATAATTACAATAATAGCCTTTATTAAAACACAGTGGCACAATTCATTAAAACAAAACAACGTAAGACTATAAACCCTAAGACAAATCCGTCGGGGGAATGCAGAGCCTTAAAACTCACAGGAATATAATAATACTATCACATAGTTTTCCGTTCTAAAAATCAATGAAGAACCTAAAATTGTAAGACTTGAAACGATTTTAATTCACGCATCAAACTTAAGTTTACTAGCTCCTTTAAAAATCACTTTCCGACGTAAGTACGACGTATTTTTCGTGATTCGCGCGGGAAAGTACCGATTTTTCTGCTAGCCACCATTAGTCAACACACCGGCGCGTTTAAAAACAGAAAACTCAATCTTCATGAAGCAAAACTTAAAATGCTGATTAGCAGAAATCCTAACGGCACCAGCCGTCAGATCATTGAAATTTATAGATAAAGCTATAGACAAAGAAGACATAGGGAGTATGGAGCGATCCCATTGGTAGGAACTGGTGGTCTTTACAGANAGCAGATGCTGATGCAATACCCTTACCGAAACCAACTAAACATTCTGAAGCTCTTCAGCCAGAAGATTTAGAATTAGCTAAAGTATGTAAGATTGTAAATAATATTTGTAATAATGTATTATAATGTATGTATGTATTGTAATGTATTATAATGTATGTATGTAATTGTAATCGTCGTATGACACCAGAAGAAATGTTGAGGAAAAATCAACGGGCTTTGAACAAGGCAATGCGTGATCTAGACAGAGAAAAAGCTCATATGGAACAGCAAGAAAAGAAAATCATAATGGACATAAAAAAAATGGCCAAAGAAGGCCAAATGGAATCGGTAAAAATTATGGCAAAAGATCTAGTAAGAACGCGTCGTTATGCAAAGAAATTCATGCTAATGAAGGCTAACATCCAGGCTGTTTCCTTGAAAGTTGAAACTTTAAGATGACAAAATGCCATGGCAGCTGCCATGAGATATAAGAATGAACTGGAACCAGCACCGGACTCCAGTCTGAAAGACGTACAGAGAATGCAGTGATGAAGCAGATGCTGATGCAATACCCTTACCGAAACCAACTAAACATTCTGAAGCTCTTCAGCCAGAAGATTTAGAATTAGCTAAAGTATGTAAGATTGTAAATAATATTTGTAATAATGTATTATAATGTATGTATGTATTGTAATGTATTATAATGTATGTATGTAATTGTAATCGTCGTATGACACCAGAAGAAATGTTGAGGAAAAATCAACGGGCTTTGAACAAGGCAATGCGTGATCTAGACAGAGAAAAAGCTCATATTGTTGGAATATCACCGTATCAGCATTATCAACAAGTGAATCGGTCTCACTCTCATTAACCTTAATTACTTGATCGACAAGATAACAGAAAACTCTCTATTGAACCACTTGTTGTAATTCCTGTGTGAATGAAAGTTGATTAAATGAGTCACTATGAAAATAAAGTTGTTTTTAATAAGAACCAAGATCCTCAAAATCTTAACATGGTAGCAGAGCGTGGTTGTCTCGTTATGTGGTTCTTATAGTTTGTGCGTGCCTTTGTGGACTTGTAGTATTTGGCCTGTGTGGCAAAGTAACAATTGACAACTTTTTGAATGTGAATTTCGGACCTTTGTGGCAGATTTCAAACTTTTAAATCATACCTCCGTGGTGTGAATTCCGGACCTTTGTGGCAGATTTCAAACTTTTAAAATCATACCTCCGTGGTGTTAATTTCGGACCTTAGTGGCGAACTTTGTTTTTATATTTCGGATCTTGTCAATATCCGGGCCTAATTTGCAAACTCTTATTTTGCTTTAATTTCGTATTTTTCAACCTTCGTGGTAATTTATCCTTCGTGGTCTTAATTTTTTTTTGAACTTTAGTGAACTTATATTCATTTAACCTTCGTGGTATTTTATTTCACTTGTATTTGACCTGTGTGACAGAGTGACAACTTTAATATCTTGAACTTTCGGAATCTTGAACTTTTGGAACAACAACATTAGTGGTATCTTCGTGGACCTCTATTTGACCTGTGTGGCAAAGTCTCTTTCGGATCTCTATTTGACCTGTGTGGCAGAGTGACAACTTTAATATCTTGAACTTTCGGAATCTTGAACTTTTGGAACAACAACCTTAGTGGACACCACAATTGCTGCCGACCTAAAAGAGACCAACAAAAAGCGGAAAAAGCTGATGGAAGACAAAAAGAAGGAAGAGAATAAACTGGCTGAGTTAAAGGCGTTGCCAGAAAAAAAATGCAAAAGAAATTGCAGAATTGCAAGCTCTAGCAACACGCTTGGAAGCTGACCGAGTGAAAGAAGAGGCACAGAGGGACAAAATCTTGGCCTCTTTACGAACTGACACAAAGAGCCTTCAGGATGATAAAGATAAGCTCCAAGCCAAGCAAATTGATTTGAAGAAGACGGCTGATGATGCCAAAGCAAAGTGTGATTTAGCACAGTCAGAGTATGACATTTATTTAAGTACAGAAAGGAAGGAAAAAGCTAAGATGGAGCAGTTGACTGCCACTTTGGAGACAACAGAGGCATCTTTGAAAGAAAAACAAAGGCAAATCAATGAGATTAAAGGAACTTTGCCCAAAGACGAGGACAGAGAAAAAGCTCATATGGAACAGCAAGAAAAGAAAATCATAATGGACATCAAGAAAATGGCCGAAGAAGGCCAAATGGAATCTGTAAAAATTATGGCAAAAGATCTAGTAAGAACGCGTCGTTATGCAAAGAAATTCATGCTAATGAAGGCTAACATCCAGGCTGTTTCCTTGAAAGTTCAAACTTTAAGATGATAAAATGCCATGGCAGATGCCATGAGAGGAGTCACCAAAGCTATGCAGAGTATGAACAGACAAATGAATCTGCCACAGATTCAAAGAATGTTACAAGAATTTGAAAAACAATCTGAGATCATGGACATGAAGGAAGAAGTCATGAATGATGCAATAGACGATGCTATGGGAGATGAAGACGATGAAGAGGAACCCGACACTATTGTATCTCAAGTTTTGGATGAACTTGGACTACAGTTGACTGATACCCTGTCGGGATTACCCCGCCCGGCAAGCCGGCAATGTTGACGTTTTGGCAATGTTTCATGGAAATGTTTCACGCAACATTTCACAGTAATATTTTTCAGCAATGTGTTGATAATGTATTTGCAACGTTGTCTTATAACATTTTCTGACAATGTTTTAAAAATAATTACAAGAAACATTACAAAAACCTTGCAACGCAACATACTTGAGTAATATTTCATGATAATGTTACGATAATATTTAACGCAATATTATTAAAACGTGAATAAGTAATGTTATTATCATATTCATAAAAAACACTGCAGAAATATAATACAATAATTTTTCAAAAACATATTTCAATTTAAAATTGTAACAATGTTTATTAAATATGTTTCCAAATAATATTATAAATTAACAATTCAGTAATGTGTAAGAACTTTATTACGTGAACGTTTCCAAGTGTCACAGCACGCGTCCATAAAAAGTTACTCGCTGTCGAACGTAGATTTTCTTATTCTAGCCGTGGACATTGGAAGAAGGACCGATTGTATATAATGTTGCCGCAAAGGCCCTTGAAGGGGCACTGTTTATGCACCGATACGGGCAGTCCGAGTCAATCTTCCTGTAATGCAGCGACCTTTGGCAGCGACGTATCAACTCTTTCGATCTTATCCGATTCTCGACGAAGATGTTTTTTCCTCGGTGAAACATATTTTTGAGTCAAAGAAATTGAGTGTAACTGAAATGAAGTATTTTATTTAAATTTAGAAAAAAATTGGTCTCATTGATGTTTCTTTAGATGAAAAAAAAAAATATTAATTTTAATTAAAGAAAATTTCTTTGTCAAGAAAAAATTAGCCTGTGTGGGTGCCTTTCTTTAGATTTTCGCGTTTTCGGATGATCTGCTCGTGCTTGAAGAAAGTTTTATCTTCAAAATATGGTTTAATTTATTTGAAAACGCGAGCCGCGCCGTAACCATACGATCATACGATTCGGCTTCTTCCGGGACTTTTCGGGTAAGTACGACAGCGTGCTTCGTAGTTTCCCTCCAACTCTAAAACTCAGGACCTAACCTACAATCCGCCGTCCGTCATGCCTGGTTGCGCTAGCCGTTACCTCGTTGTAACAGCCAGAGACGATGTTGGTCTATTTTTCCAGTCTCTCTTCTAATGCAGCCTCCAAAATAAATGTAAGTACTTAAATTTTGTTAGTATATCATTCAGGAAATGTAGATCGACAGACCCTACCCAAAATTAATGATCTAAATCAACTGAGATCTTCCTCCCTCCAGCAACGAAAGAGCCTCGCCAAAAAGTGGTGTTTTTTAGCCCCTTTTTTTATACCCGAGTTGGTCAACCGGACAGTGCTCAAATGAAAGCCTATGGTAAGGCAAACTTCCATGCAAAGTTTCAACTTGAAGTGACCCCTCGTTTAGGCTGTACAGCGTTGCCAATTTTCCAGTTTCATGTGATAAAATCAAGGATATAGGACTGTTAGTCCGGTGCATAAGTAGACTAGTACAGCCGAGTTGGTCAACGGGACAAAGCTCAAACGAAATAGTGGTGGCCACCATCTACCATCAAATTTTGACGGGCCGCACTTTTTTGTTCAAAGTAAGATCAGAACGGAGTGCCACCATTCATCATTTCCTGCCACAAGGAAACATTTCTGCCAAGTTTTCATTTTAAAATGAAGCAAATCAATGAGTTTAGGACTGATGACTACCGACACTTTGATGCTACTTTGATAGGAATTGGTTCGGGAATTTGATCGTCTATCCAGGGCTTAATTTTCAAATGAAAACCTGGCAGAAATGTAACATGTGGCAAGAAATGATGAATGGTGGCACTCCATTCTGATCAAAATTGACGGCCCGTAAAAGAGAATTGTTGAATGGTGAACATCAGTCATCAAATGGTTTACTTAAATCGGAATTGGTTCGGACTTTGATCGTGTATCGAGAGCTATAGAAATCGACAGTGGGGCGGCACAGCATATGGATCTCGCCCCTATAGATCGGTAAGATTCACGTATAATAGCAAATCTTGACACCATGCAATAGTAGCAGCACTGGTTCATCGTCTCGACCAAAAGTTCATCCCTGAAGTTGAGTGGAGCAACACCCGTTGGGATCCTCAATCACAGCATCATTTCCGTACTAAGTGTGCAAAGCCCGTGGCCCGTTGCCGTCGGTGGCCCATCCATTAAAGTCCAGCGGCCGCAGCGCAGCGGGTCGGTCGTTACGGACCATGAGTCGCGGATTCGCGGGCCGTTCATTCAATAACCATCGTCCCCGGTGAGGAAACTTATATGTTTTTCCACAGACTGAGTGCAACAAGAGGGAACCGCCGGCGGCGTTGCGCCGTGACAGTATGCAACCGGCCGGGCGGCAGCGTGCACTCCGCGCCCGGCGCGTGCTTCCACCGGAACTAAACACCCCACTCAGATATTCATTGTTTCAAAACATACACCACTCATCCCCTCCGTCGGCGATAGTGATACCAGAACCAGCCACCCCCCACCCCCTCTCGCGCGGTCGCGCTCTCGCCATCCCGAGGCAGGAAATGGCCTGGACGTGTGTGTCTTTCATTCCAGAACGGAAATCTCTAGATTAGTCACATGTTGTCACAAAAGTTATGCCCTTTTTTTGCGTATTTTTGCGCTTGGAGGGGTGGGTGGTGGCGGCGGGTTGGGAGTGGAGGGTTGTGGGGACGTCTCTAGTCTATTAAGTCGGGTTAATTGTTTCGGAGCGCCGTAGATTCGACTAATTGCGGGCCCGCGAGGCTTACGATCATTTGCCGTGATGTCGGATGTCGTTTTTGCGAATACTGTTCGTATGAGGCGCTTAAAAAAAGTTTTTTTTTACAGTGTTATTCTTCAAATTTTGGAGTCAGCAGACCATTATTTCAGTACCCCAGGGCTAAAAGGCACCTAACTCTATTTTAGTCTTTTCGAGATATCAGGGAAAAACCACGCGTCGGCCCCCTTGGTTCCAATGTAAATCGTAATCTTTGAAGTTCCGTATCTCATAATCGGCGTGAGACAGGGCTACCGAATTTTCCGCACACGTGGAACCGTTAATGGAAATTTCCTAAACGCCACTCACAAGATTTTTCTAAAAAATTGAGTTAGGTACCTTTTGGCTCTAGAACACTGGTTTGATGACAGGACCGAGGGTTTAGGATATTTCTGGGAGGAGGGCCTATGCACGCAGGGGCCTATTTTCTAAAAAACCGTTGATTAGCCTATTTATACTCAATACTGTGTTAGCAACTGTATCGATAGGAGATTATTCACTTATGCCATTAAAATTCAGCTTCAATCTTCAAGACCTATGATCGCCGACTATTTCTATAGAAAAAGGGAGTAAACCTGAAAATTTTCAAAAATTCCTCTCACAACATTCGAAAATAATTAAGTATGGTCAAATTTCATTTCCAAATTAATCAACTTAAAACCAGGTGAACGAGCTGCATTGTGAGGAGGGGGGGGCGGCCCCACCCTATTTCCGCCCATGGGCACTACCCCAATTTGTTAGATTAAATAGGCCTCTCCGATTAATTGTAGCAGTGCCGCAACACTTGGGTTAGTAATCTAATTTTTATTGGTTTACATACCACCACAATTAACTGGAAATTCCTATATCATCCAACAACTCCTGCCTCTATTTTCCTTGAATAAATAATAATAAGTTGAAACGTGTTTTTCTGAAAAGACTGTTTTTTTGTTCGTTTTATACACGTAACCCTTCTTGGAAATCTCCTCGATTTCTTTTAAGACATGGAGGCTTTTTTCAACGAATGCTCTCCTCTTCTAACAATAGATGTAATTCAATTTACTCTCCCTCATTATTCCCTCGTAAATGACAAAACGGCAACAGGGGAAGGGTAGGCGCGTCGAATGGCGACACAGTACCATCTCGAGCTACCCGCCGAACGCGAGTCAGGTCGGGGTCGGGGTGGGTCACCGATGCCCCTTCAATTTCGACTCGGTTTCGCGGATAGTTCATGAAAAGCTCATTCAATTTTTATGCTCGTTTACGCTCCGCAGTGCCGCTCTTCACTCCTGCCGCGTGTCGCCCATTGGACACGCTCTCATCAGACCGAGTCGCGCCATCACCAGCCATCATCAATGTCTCTTGAAACTCGTTCGAGTTTGGGAACTTAATTCGTTTACTGAGTGTTTGGTTCGCATTGAAATTGAGTGTAACATGAAGCCATATAACCAGCAGAAAAAGGAAAACAATTGAGCGTACCTACATTAGTGGGTTACGGAGACATTATTATACAGGGTGTCCCAGGATTCAGTACAAATATTGAAGAATTCGATTCTTTGGGTCAAAAAAAGAAGTTTTCGTGGTATAAATTTTTTCCAATAACGTTTTCCCTGGGGGCCACCCCCCGCTCCCTTTCTGCCCACTCACGCTCCATTCAGTACTTATTACCTCGAAAATGATGAGTCATGACAAAAAAACGCAAGACACATTTTCTCAATTTTTATCAACGCTAAATCTAATGGTGCCGTCAAAAATAAATGTTTGTCCTAAAATTCTGGCCTTTTTTAGGTTCGATACCCTCCTAAACCCCCCTTAAAATGCGTTTTCCCTTTTTAGGAGGTCAAAACTGAAAAAACGCTAAAAATTATTCTCATTTACCAATTTTCATTAATATTGGTTGATAAACATTGTCACGGTGTTAAAGAGACGATTTTTTTTCTCCAACTTTGGGGGGCCGTAACCCCGAGGGAAAGAGTTTTTGGAAAAACAGTTATACTATAAAAACCAAGTAAACGTGGCCAAAATGCTGCGAGTAACCATTACTGTTCTCAAGCCGCTTACATTGCCTATCGAGGTATCGAAGGCGAACTGGTCGGAGCAAGTTACAAACAATGAGATTGGAGTATTAACCCACAAATGCCACGAATGATGCAGGGCTCGCTAATTTGAAATAAACCCTCGCACCTCCCTCTCCTTCTGGGGGAAATCTCGCCCCCTCTCCCCTCAGAGGGGACACCAAACAGAAGGGACCCCAAATCATGGTCGCCTCCTAACCTTTCGATGCCAGTGTGCCCCTGTAAATTCTCACCCTGACTGTTGTTCCGTCGGGCGAATTTAGCCTGTATCATTGTAACTGCATTCACATAGTTTAATGCCTTTTTGTGTTTCCCTTTAAACATTAAACTAAACGATATACCGCCTTGAAATTTTCCGTCAAACTTACCCGAATTTCAACAATGAAGAAAGCAATCACCGAATTCAAGGCAGAACATTTTGGTTGAACAATGAGACGCGTGATCAAGAAATTAGGCAACGTCTAATGATGTTAAGCCGATTCTGGTTAAAAAGTAAATATATTACGCTTTTTTCAATTATTGCTATACTTTAGATCTTAATTATCATAGGCTATAGTGTATTTTCACCAGCATATCGTATAATTCAATTGCAGAAAATTTAAAAATAGAGAAATGACACGAAACAATTATGTTCCCACTTACCCTGAAACCATGCTAATATTATCAAAATATTTTAAGTGTTTTTCTTCCACCAATGTTTGATCTTAAAAGTTGACGCTTGATTTGTTTACAATAGTAAATACGATTCAATACAAGGAACTAGAAACTAAAGTATCTGATCTGTACTGTTTAGAGAAATTCTTTGGCTTAAGCTATCAAAGTTTTCTTAGGCGAAAAATAAGTCAGTTAAGTCAGTTAAGTGTGGATAAGTTCAAAGCTGCCTTTTTAAAGGCTAACATAAACCATTCATTCTTCTTATCAGAGAAATTAGATTTCCCTATTGGAAACTCACCTATTCGTGAGAATTTATAATTTTAGGAGACACATATCCTCAGACTTAAACTTTGTCGACGTCTCTATGTATACAGACCACATGCGCATGAAGATAAAGATCTCAGGAGGGAAGAATAGGCAAATAAT